GCATTTTTTTATGCTAAGTAACTTATCCCTTTCATATAAGCAAAGTCTTAAAATTTTTCTCTAAGTAAAAAAAAAAAAGAAGAAAATTACAGTTTTCATATGTTGCACGTTTCCGGTTATAAATATGTATTTTTCGTGACCAGGCCATATGTGCGCTCTATGCAAATTAGTCACTTTATATAGCCATTTATGCATAGAATCAAATGCCAGAGACTACCAGCACATGTTTTAGGTAGCTTACAAATACATATAGTAAACGTACATGTAACTTTGTGCGAGCGCAAATATGCTGTAGTGCAGGGGGTTCAACGCCACACGCTTCCCTCGAACCATTTGCTGCCATTCAAACGTTTATGTTTGTTATTTTTATACAACTGGCGCGACGTCGTTCATTCAGCTTTGCAATGCTGTCTATTCAACTGTCTATCAGCAAGAGCATGAGTATGAGTATGAGCTTAGCTGTGCTTGTCGCTTTTAAGGATCGGTATTAGGTATAAACATGAATATGACTAAAAAGCTATAAAAATATCTATGTAATATATGCAACTAGAGCAGTATGGAGGTTGTATAGGAAATTAAAACAACAAAATTTACGTTCAAAGTAAAAAAATTTTGCGTTCCTTGAGCTATTCAGCGGCATTGAGAGGATGCCTATTAGCAGAGCGTAGCTGCTTTATGCCATTTTTGTTTTATTCAGCTCTATTCAGCTACTTAAAATGTAATTCAGCGCTTATGGAAAGATTTTTTAATGTATAAAAACAGCGCAGAACTATTAGAAATTACATTTGGACGTGTTTTAAGCCCCTGCTGGATTTATATAAAGGAATCTATTTAGTGCCTGGCCTTTTTGTATTGCTTTATAAAAGAAAAAAGCTAAATATGTGTCTTAATTAGCAGTGAGAAATGATCTGAACCTCCTCAGATCGAATTCAGCTCCATTCAGCTGGTGCTAATTTAATTCAGAGTTAGTCAGCAAACGTTAGAGCTTAGGCTTTGATTGTGTTAAATTCGATTTTAAAATTTGAAGCTAGTATTTAGTAAACTTAAAATAATTCAGCGGCCACATAATACTTTCTAATTTGTCAGATTTATTCAGCTGATTAAAATGTAATTCAGCGCAATGTAAACACTATATATTTGTTATAATATTTATACATACCTATATATTGTTGAATTTACTTTTTTTATACTGTGTAAAATTTATTCACCGCAATTATACGGCGAGAATATAAAGAGGGTTTAATAGTAAGCTGTTTTTTTATCGATTTTTTTAAGAATTGAATGCTATTTTGTGAGTTTAATTTTTACTGTACTCATGAGTTCTAACATTTTAGGATATCTTTCAACCTAAGGCATAGCTTTTAGTAAATTCAGAACATCACTTGCTTTTAAGTAATATTTCGAAAACGAATATATTTTTTCATTGGGAAATCAAAATATTAACAAATGGTTACAATATAGGTATAATTTTCACGTTTTTAATAAACGATTTGCTACTTAGTATATTATTTTAATTATAATTTAGTTCAAAAATAACTCAGCGGCTTACTTTTCTAGTATGACGTTTGGTATTTCCTTAACTACACAGAAATGTTGATGTTGACCGCCTCTATGTGATATTCAGCCCATTTTTTTGCTATAAATTGGAATTGAAATTTCTTTTCTACATATATATTGCACCTAGCTTCTTACATTCAGCTCCTTGAAATGTTATTCAGCGCGATGATTAATACTAAGCTTCTTAAATTCCATTTAAACTTATTTGGTCCTGAATTTCTTGTTGGGCTCACGAAATGAATTTTGAGGTTTAAAGCGCATATTTACATATTAACTTTTTAAATATGTACACATTTTCATACATATGTACATGCGTAGATTGCATATGTACTAGGGCGGGTCAATTTTTTTTTGATAATGCACGTTTAGCATAAGAGGATTGTACGTGTAATTCTAAGCAAATTTGTCGAGGAAACCATGAGTCTAAAATTAATTCGGAGTTTTCCAAGTTGCGAAAATCTGTGATATACGCGCATAGCCGAAAAAATCTCCGATGTAAATTGACCCGGCCTAATACATATGTACATATATGTACTATAGTTACATATGGACAACTGTGCTTTGTCGTTTATAACTTATATTATTTCGTTATAAAATAAATACATAGATAGTAGTATAACCACAGCCAGTCAAGCATTGAATCCACACTAACTAGGACATATAAAAGGATGCCACTTTTTTGTTATTGCAAATTTGTTACATTTACATGGTAATTTAAAGTTTATACCAGATATTAACTCAAATCTGCTGTAAAATGGAAATTCTCGTTTACTAACAGCTACACAAAGTAATAAGCAGCCGGACATGTTCATTCATGCCTTCACAAACACAAACACACGCTGAGTGAATATGCAAATGCTGAATAGGTATGTATATGTGTATGTTTATATATGTACGTAACGGACATCCTACATTTTTATTGACGTGCTATGCGTTCAGCCATCAGCTACAATAACTTTAACTAGCAAATGATTCGCATCTTCCGCTGAGTAAATGATATTAGAAAGTGCTTTCGTATATATGTAAATATGCATATTTACAAACATATTTACATACGCGTATATGTACTTATGCATGTATAAACATTTAATATTTCGAAGTGAGTTCACATAGTCTAATCATTTAAACTTTTTGAATGCTTTTAGTGTAGCAGACATTTCTATATCCGCTTGCAAGTAGCAAGTTTCTGCAAATAGCAGGCAATCTCGGTTACGTTTGTTAGTTCAACACTGTTGCAACATTGCCACTTACTTGTTGCCAATTAAAATGTGTAACTTATTCAATGAAATTATATGGTTTTTTGCACTTTGTAGTCGCATGCAAAAGAACATTTAGAAGCATGTAATTTAAAGTGACAATTTTTTTCTAACCAGTGGACTCCATTGAGTATGAGTGATATGCAGTACGTACATGAATTTCGAAATGCAGATATTTCAAGCATATTTCTTCTGTTAATGTAAATAGTTAGTCAGGGTATGCAATTCAATTCAGCGCCCTAAAAGTTAATTCAGCGCGAATTATTACGTATGTACGTTACTCAGCGACCTTTTAACAGTTTATCTGGCATTTAGGCATGCTTACAAAAAAGTGTTTTTGAATTCAGCGCCTTAAAATTGCTTCTTTGGCACGTAAATAAGCTTGCACTTGAAAATATTTTCCATTGCCAGTGTTGTATTACTTAAACCAGCGCAGTTATATTTAACTTAGTTTGAATTGTTTTTTAATTTCTAACCTTAAAGTTAATTCAGTGTTACAGAAATCAGTAAAGACTGCACAATTCAGCGCACATTTTTAAATTTACAGCATATTTTTGAGTTTGTAATTAGATCTATTACATATATCTAATGTATTACCGTACGAATTATTGTAAATTTTTAGTTTGCAATTACAAAGTATTTTACAATCCAATTAATAGCAGGTACGATTTTTATAACGTACTGGCTTTGTTCTCTGAAAAACTTTTAAACCTTACACAAGAGTGTGCTTCTTATCTTACTCAATGCCTTTAAACTTTTATTCAGCGCATTGTTTCGGTAATTAATTTCTCAGCTTACAGTATTACATTAAAATTCAACGCTATTCAGCGCCATTCAGCTCCATTCAGCAGTCAAAATATTCAACTAATTCTCATTTTCTGATAGTTTTTTACATAAGCAGTACTTCTCATTCTATTCAGGGCCCTTAAACCTTTATTCAGCGCATTGTTTCTTTCATTAATTTTTTAGCTCAAAGTTTTACATCAAAATTCACCGATATTCAGCGCCATTCAGTGATCAATAAATTTAACTAATACTCAACTTCTTCAATTTTTTACAGCAACGGACTTTAAACCTTTATTCATTATTTTTTCTCTATTTAATTTCCCCTACTTAAACTTGTACATTAAAATTCAGCCATTCAGCTCAATTCAGCGACAGAAAAATTCAAATAATTTTCAATTTTTAACTTGTTGCTTAAAAAGTTTTCTTCATCCTTTCAACAACATGCATTGTTTCTGTGACTCATTATTCAGCTTAAAGTTTTACGCTAAAATTCTCTGCTATTCAACTCATTTAATAGCTTAAATTGTTTAACTTACCTTATCATTCTTCACCTCTTCCAACTCCAATACCTCGGCGGACACTTTCTGTGCATGCCGGTCCACACCCGGACTGAGTAGTACCTCCCAGGTGAGTGTTGGTTTCGGATTACCACCCTCGCTGACGCACGCTAAATTCAATTCGGAATTCTCTTTGACTGGCACAAAAATATTGCCTGCATCTAGGCGCCGTGAATCGATCAGCAAATATGGTGGCTTTGGACGATCTGTAAGCAATTAAAATGAAAGAAAATTAATTAGAGTTTTAATTCTATGGTGCCTTAAAAGTGAGCTGATAAGAGTTTGTACAAAAACAGAACAAAACCAAAAAAAAAAATTGAGAAAAAAGATTTTTTGAATTGAAATTTATTGGCCACCAAAGCATGTAAGAAAAAGGCGGTAGTAGTTGCTGAGCAACAATGATATGAGTGGACATCCAAAAAAGTATGTCAAACATAAATTGCACAGACCGGCTGTAGCAAAGCTTTGGTCAAAAAATAAATTCTTGGTCATTTAAAAAGTTTTTATCGCTCATTTATATTTGGTCCTTCCTTGCGTTCCTCTTTGCTGACTAGTAAGTATCAGTTTGTAGGGCCGCTTAATGCGGCTACTAAATCCAACCGTGCATACATTCTACTCTCTACTCTACTTCTACTCACCGGCACCCACTCGCGCTCTCCGCATAAATTCTAGCTATTCAAGTTGCAAAACTTTTCGTTTGCTTTTGGTTTTTTCTTTTTTTTTTCTTGCTAGCCAGCCTCGTTTTGCAACGTGTATTTTAACAAGAAAACTTTTCGCAACATGCCAACGCAGCGCGTTTGTATTCACAGCAACTTGCACAAGTTGATTTACTTGTGTGTTAGTGTGTCGATGTGTATATGTATTGGCATGTCCTGTTTCGCTGTTTGTGTCATTAACAACATCAGAAATCCTTGTCAGTATTCGTATTATGTAATATAGTTGGTGTGCCACAAACGTTGACCGGGCACAAGCCAGCGCCAAGTGTTGCCAAAGTGCGCTGTAGTCAACTTTTAATTTCAGGTCATTTCATTCAGCGCAAGTAGTATTCAGCGGATGAGAATTGAGGATGGTCGCTTGCTTTTGTTGCATTGTGAGAAAAAATGCATCCGGATTACAAATTAGTGTACACGACATGTAATCAGTTAGAATAATCTTACTCAGCTGACTTTGGTATCTAAAAAATTTATTTAAAAACAATTTTTAATCCCCGTTATAAAAATATGCTTGTGATTAGAGCTTTTCAGCGCAATTTAGCTGAATGATTAGAGAATTCAGCAAAATAAACATTATTTTGAAGCTAAAAAATTAACTAAAAATATAACAAAGCGGGAAATATTCATGCGGATCGCCGATTGGTATACTTGGCATATAACCACGGCAGATAAGCTGGTTTTAGAGCAATTCATCGGAATGTAGCTAATTTTGCAATCTAAAGAATTAACGTTTAAACGATTTTATATGCTATTTGTAAAACCTGTTTTGGAATTTAAGTTTTTTTGGGGCGATTCAGCGGAGTCGTTAGAGAATAAAGCGAGAAAAAATTTATTCTGAAGTTTAAAAATTAACTAAAATACTATTTACGAGAAAATATTCTTTCGGCTTTTAAACTAGCCCACTTGGCATGTATTTATTTAATTGAAAGCAATTCAGCGGAATTCAGCTGACTGTTATATAACTACAGAACTTACTTAGAAACAAATTTGTGGCTAGTTTTAAAACATGTTTGGTTCTAGAGCTTATCAGCGCAATTCAGTTGAGGGATTAGAGTTATTCGGCGGAGTGATTAGAGTTTTTCGGCGAAATTCCGCCGATCGACAAAAGTTATTCAGCGGAGTTCAAAAGGTATACTAATCATTGTATTTTTGGTTTCAAGCTTTTGAATCAAACAATTTATTAATAGTTGGTAATTCAGCATAATTCAGCGTCTAATTTATGTATACTTTTATGAAAAAAGCATATAAATGAATTATAGTCATTGAAAGATCGATTTTTTACTTTGAAATAAAAAAAAAACAGCTCGAATTATGCAATTCAGCTCATCCAAAACTTTTCATACATTATCTCCCACAATAAAACTTTAAATTTCTCTCAGTGCACACTACAAACTTACACAATTTCAAAGTAAAATCCCTGCCAAAAGTTGACCAATTTATACTGGTATTAAAATTGCGTTGTAAAATCCACGCTGATAGCTACTTAGCGGCTGTTATGCCTGTGTTAACGCGAACTTGTACCATTTTAGCCCGCTCGGCCAGCCCTCCCTGGCCACCATCTTCACTAACTACTCCACACCCACTTATTTCTCACTCAAATTGCAGCATCATATTTTGCCCACTCAACCGCCGCCTGCAACTGCTTACTCATCTACTATACTCCGCCCCCCACAAAAGAAAATAAAAAAACACACACAAAACTTCCAAACCATAAACGTCCTGCTTTAATACTCACCTAACACCACCAATTTTACGGGTCTCGCATTCTCGGTGTATCTGCGCGAATTCTCCGCTTCACATTGCCACTTGCCATCGTCCTCGAGCATTACATTTGTGATGGTGAGTGCACCATTTGGCTCTTTAATGAAACGATAATCGGTGGCGCGTGAGGTGCGATCCATGGCGTGCACCACCTGCGGATTAAAGAAAGAGAGAGAGAGTGAGAAACAGTTTGAGATAATAAAAAGAATTTGAACAAGCAGCGTATTAAATGACATAGAACAAACAGTAGATATGCATAGCTGTTGTAAGTAAGTAACGGAATTAGTAAACGCGTGAAAATTTTGCGTACCGCTCAACGTGTCGCTTGCTCACTCATTCACCGAGTGTAGGCAGTGGGCGTACGACCGTAAATCCGTAAAGTTTAAGTCGTTTATGAGCTGCCTTAATACCTGTTTTGAAGTTAGTATATATTTTTGTTTTTGCAACGCGAACTAGCCTTATCTTTGTTTTTGTTGTCTTCGTTTTTGCGCTCATTTTCGTCCATTGTTATCTGCTGTTTTGCAGTTATGGCAGCGGAAATTGTTCACACGAAAGTCTTTAGTTTATTGTGCGCAATGGTGCGCTATGCATAACTAAATGGAAATTACTTGTGCTCGCTTGCTGGTATGTATGTGCTCTGACGCGCCGAAAATTATGCAATGCATTACATTTTTTGTTTGTTTGTATTCTCTCATTTATTTAGCGCGCACTAAGCGTTGCTACTTAAGAATGTTAAGCTCTTGTGAATAAGCGCTACACCTACTCGGTGTCATTTAACGGATTTTAGATAAGTGCTCAACTTTTCTTGCATTTTTGCTTCTACATTGTTGCGAACTTTCGAGTTGCTCGTTTAGCTGTAGTGCCGCTTTTGAAAATTAAGACCAAGTGTCTGAAGTCGGTAATATGAGTTGATTTTTTCGAAGGAATTAAGTGCCAAAATTTATGTGAGAGCAGAATTAAATATTTTTGTAATTAAAACCATACGATTAGTTTCATATAAGTATATTCACCGCTATTCAGCAGAAGTTTAAATCTCAATTTTGAGCTAAATAATAAATTATGCTTAGAAAAATTTGATGCAGCAAAAATCTAAGGATTTTTATCTGGGCCTAGGGTAATATCAGTTTTGATTTGACTGTTTTAAATTTTTATATTTGTTTTTCGTTTTTTTAATCACTTTTTTAAGTTTTTATTTTACTTTAAAAAGTTTTGTCTTTTCTTCGTTAACTTTTATTATTATTATATTTTAGATTTGATACACTTTTTTATTTTGCTTTCTCTTGTTTTATATTTTTCGTTATATTCTAATTTTTTTATTATTATTATTTCTTTTCTTNAGAATTTGAACAAGCAGCGTATAAAATGACATAGAACAAACAGTAGATATGCATAGCTGTTGTAAATAAGTAACGGAATTAGTAAGTGCGTGAAAATTTTGCGTACCGCTCAACGTGGCAGTCGCTTGCTCACTCATTCACCGAGTGTAGGCAGTGGGCGTACGACCGTAAAACCGTAAAGTTTAAGTCGTTTATGAGCTGCCTTAATACCTGTTTTGAAGTTAGTATATATTTTTGTTTTTGCAACGCGAACTAGCCTTATCTTTGTTTTTGTTGTCTTCGTTTTTGCGCTCATTTTCGTCCATTGTTATCTGCTGTTTTGCAGTTATGGCAGCGGAAATTGTTCACACGAAAGTCTTTAGTTTATTGTGCGCAATGGTGCGCTATGCATAACTAAATGGAAATTACTTGTGCTCGCTTGCTGGTATGTATGTGCTCTGACGCGCCGAAAATTATGCAATGCATTACATTTTTTGTTTGTTTGTATTCTCTCATTTATTTAGCGCGCACTAAGCGTTGCTACTTAAGAATGTTAAGCTCTTGTGAATAAGCGCTACACCTACTCGGTGTCATTTAACGGATTTTAGATAAGTTCTCAACTTTTCTTGCATTTTTGCTTCTACATTGTTGCGAACTTTCGAGTTGCTCGTTTAGCTGTAGTGCCGCTTTTGAAAATTAAGACCAAGTGTCTGAAGTCGGTAATATGAGTTGATTTTTTCGAAGGAATTAAGTGCCAAAATTTATGTGAGAGCAGAATTAAATATTTTTGTAATTAAAACCATACGATTAGTTTCATATAAGTATATTCACCGCTATTCAGCAGAAGTTTAAATCTCAATTTTGAGCTAAATAATAAATTATGCTTAGAAAAATTTGATGCAGCAAAAATCTAAGGATTTTTATCTGGGCCTAGGGTAATATCAGTTTTGATTTGACTGTTTTAAATTTTTATATTTGTTTTTCGTTTTTTTAATCACTTTTTTAAGTTTTTATTTTACTTTAAAAAGTTTTGTCTTTTCTTCGTTAACTTTTATTATTATTATATTTTAGATTTGATACACTTTTTTATTTTGCTTTCTCTTGTTTTATATTTTTCGTTTTATTCTAATTTTTTTATTATTATTATTTCTTTTCTTTTGTTTTAAATAATTTAAATTTTATTGTTTTTTTTCACGTGATTTTATATTTCATAAAGTTTTTTACTTTATTATAAATTCTTCTGTTTTATTATTAATAATTTTTACATTGTAGTATTTTTAATTTTCGTTGTTTCAGTTTATTATTTTTTAATTATATTTTATTTTACTTTATTTAATTTATTTTATTTTATTAAAATTTTTCTTAAATTAATTTTTCAGTTTTTTTTTATATTATCAATTTCTGTTTTATTGTAATTTTTTACTTCTATTTTATTTGATTGTTTTACTTTTCTTTTATTTAATTTTTTGTTTTTATATTTTTATATCTTTTATATAGATTTTATTTAATGTTTGATTGTTACATTTTTATATTTATTTTTAAGTTTTTTTACCTTAAAAAGTTTTCTCATTTTCTTCCTTAATCTTTTTTTATTATTTTTTTAGCTTTAATACACTTTTTTTATTTGGCTTTCCCTCATTCTATATTTTTTATTTTATTCTTAGTTTTTTATTGTTATTATTACTTCGTTTATTTTATTTATGTATTTTGTCTTAGTTAAATTTTGTTTTAGTTTAATTTTCCCCTGATTTAATCTTCAATAAAGTTCTTTATTTTATCCAAATATTTTTTTGTTTCTTATTTATTTTTTTAGTTTGTTACTTTTTTCCAATTTGTTTTCCTTTAGATTTGTTATTTTTAATTTTTCGTACATTATTTTTTATTTGAATTTTATTTCTTTTTATCTCCTTTATTTTTGTAGTTTTGCTATATATGTATGTAGATAAGAAGATTAATATAAAATTAATCCTGTTTGTTAATTTTTATTATTTTGATGGTTAATGCTTTAAACGGCTTCTCACAATTTGGACTTCTTCGTTGTAAATTTCTTGTTTCATCTGAACTTTATTGAGTTTTTCGGTAATATTTACCAAAGAGATATGAATTCTTTTTTCTTGTTAATTTTGCAAATACAATTGCTATATTTGAACGTTATTATTATTGCAAAAATGATTTCTAGGAAAAATCTGTGCGCTTTTCGCATTTGCATGTTTACCTTTGGGTGGTTTGCCTTTGGCGGCGCATAGATTAGCAACTTTATCATAAATCTAATTGGTATGTAAATTAAATGCATTTCATTTTTAAATTAAAACACTATATGACAGTGAGTGTTTGTAGGAAGAGATAAATATTGAGTTGTTTTGAATTAAAATTAAAATATATATATAAACATATGTAGTATATATGTATGTGGAATTAAGTCACATGTAGTTGTGATGTCCTGAGCGCTATGTGGTTTATGTGAATAGTAGCCAAAATTATTTGTCAGTTAAATTTTTCTATACCTCCAGATAGATGGCAAATTCCACTCATTCAAACGAAAGTTGGAAAATGTGAATGAACACATCGTGCACATAAAAAATTTGCATACGCATATTGACGTGTCTACGTGTGCTTCGCTCATACCCTACGGCCATTTAATGCATAAAATCGCGCATATACTCTGCCATCATTTTGGATTTTTTTGTTATTTTCGTCGCATAAAATGGTTGCGCATTTGCCAGCGGCTGTGAATTGGCATGTGTTTGTTCTTATGTATGTACTTGTATGAATATATGTATCCACACTTATGTAGATACGTACATACATATATCCCACTGGCCATTTAATAGGAGAAAATCCGAAAAACAATGAATGGAACAGGTTTATGTGTAAAATTTTCCACTTATGTTTCCAATATTAATTTCGGCTGAAAAAATTTTGTAAGCCAAATTTTTTTTTTTTTATTTAAGATAGCTCTTTTTCAGCTTTTAAAATCTGAAATCGGCATAACAAGCAGCAGTCTAAATTACCATATAAAAATTTTGTGAGAGTATATTTTTTAACCAGGTTTATACTTCTCCAAGAATTAAGTTGTTCTGAAAGTTAGAGCGCAATTAAGCAAGTACTTAAAAAATTCAGCTCAGCTTTAGGACATATTTTTCGCTTGGAAATTTCAGTTCTATTCACTATTTTGCGTGTAAAATGTTTTTCACTAGTTTCTTAGATACAATTCAGCAAAATTTAACTGAAAAAATTATGTCTGCACTAACTTTTGTAAACTGACTTTAATTAATTTAATACGAAAATGAAGTTTTTTTGCTGCGTAATAAAATTTTTCCAAAAAATCACTTGTCCTTATCTGAAGCGCTCAATTCAGCAAATACTTGGAGTATGTATTGACAAAAATGTTAATTTGTTTGTTTGGGGTGCTTAATTCCCCATTATTCAGCGCTTAAACACATAAAATTTTATGCTTCGCAGAGATTTATCTTTATTAAATTTAAAATTTAAGAATGTTGATTTAATTCAGCATGACAACAGCTCGAGTTTTTGTATGCGTTTTTTATATATGAAACATTTAATGGAAAACCCAATTCTTTGTAAGGGGTAGCTTTCCTTGATATTTTCTACTACAGCATTGGACTTTTATACTCAGCACCAAAATTTTCGTATAATTTAGGAGAAGGTAACATTCAAGGAAACATTTTTATTCTACCTTGATACAAATCTTCTAAGTTTTAACGTATTCAGCTCGATTTTATTTTAAGTTGAAGTGGGAATAAAAGTTTTATAGTAAAATGTAAGTATTTAGTTCAATATATACCACGATTTTTGTCTCAAAAGCATTTAAAAGC